AAAAAAGTTGCTTTTTTCAAATAAAATTGCGCTTCCACGAACTCAAACTGAACAATCGATTACTTGGGCGCGCGCTATAATATTTGCCAGTACTACACACACTACATAAAGTTTACAAATTTCAATCAGAGTTTTTCATCAACATCTGAGTATTCTGTCATAAACTCCTATTTGTGATGCCCCCTACTTACAGGGTTATTTTCATCCCTTCCAAGTTCACTTGATTCACCAACTAACAAGAAAGTTTGGTTGGACATCATCGCTGGGAAAAACCGTCCGAAATTCGGAGAAATAATCACTGCTTTAAACACTGGAGTTTCACCCTAGTGATATGAATAAAACACTAGTGAAATAATATATTTCGCGATCACTGCATATCGCGAGTATCGCGTTTTTCACAAAGTATGACGCCACTTCACGTAAAACGGATAAAACTCCAGTGAAGGTCAATTTGATATGAAAATGCGCGTTTTCTTCCGAGCTCGATGAGAATCGATCTGGTACTATATCGCATATACAAAATATTTTTCCTTTTCTCACCTGAGCTCATAAGTTTTCTCACTACATTATGAAAATCCACCCACGATTTTGGGTAGAAGTATACAAAAACCAACCGAAATTCTTCACAATTTTCATATTGTCACCAACACAATGATGATATACACTCACCCGCATCAGCAGCAGCTTGGGCAGCCGCATTCTGAACTTCCATTATTTTTTCCCTTGAAAATAACCGATTCGCAGCAAACGAACAGCACTCACTGTTTACATATCAATAGGACTAACAACAGTTTCTATGTGCTTGCCGTGACGAGCTGCTCGGTCGAGGAAGTTGAGAATGTTATGGTATCTTTGAAAATACAGTATGCATTAATTTGACATTTTCCGAGATTAATGAGAATCGATTTGCAATGTAACGATGGCTATGAACATGTGTTGTGATGATGAGCGTACCCGTTTAGGACTGTGATGATAGCGACAACTTGTTCTCCAAAATAACACACATTTGCATATCAAGTCTACACTGTATAAAACTACTATAAATCAAAAAGCATAAACAATCTGTCCTCCGTAGTTTTGACTTACGTATCATCACGAATAACAACCATATCCTTAGCCATATTCTCAGCAAGGGCCAGGAAGCACCTTTTCGCATAGTACCTAAATCACAATCATTTTGGGTAATCAATCAAGAACCTTTTTTTTTGAAATTTCCTTTTGTAAAATTTATTATCTTCAAATGAGGACACAGACATGGGAAAAATCAAACGGTTATTCTCTCACGCTTCTCCACAGTGATTCTCGATAATACGAATTCACGCCAGTTTCATCTTCATACAGTATGTGTTGATAACTTACGTCTACACGGGAAATATTATGCTCAAAGTAGGTGACACGCTGCGATCACTGGTATACCACATTTTCAAGAAGATCAGTTATTTCGTTAAATTCCGAAATTCGACTTCGAAAATTAAATTCATAATTCGCTTAAACCAGCCAGTAAAAAGTTAAAAAAATGCATTTTTTCCAAAAAAAGCCGGAAAATCACCCGAAATTCTGAAAAAAAAATTAAATTTCCCCGAAAATATTGCATTTTTTTCCAAGACCATACCACGTATCCATCCCCAACTTGCGATCCATCGGTTCCAACGACTTCATCACTCGAGATATTCCAAATTCAAAATTACCTGATAAATTCCAAAGCTAATACGAAGAGAAAAAACTCGTCATTTCCTTAAAGTTTGAAAACACCATGTAAAACGGAATAAGTAAAATTTGGTGACATTTTGTGATAATTCCAACTTAATTTTCCAATCAGATCAACAAATACTGAGAGAATGTGCGTTCAAAGTTCCTCTCACGAAAACTTTTCGCCGTTTTTCCCCGCGTAAAAACGCTCACAAGGTCTCCACCAAATAATCTAGTAACACGTCATGTAAGACTTATAATACGAAACGAGTTTTCCCACCGCGAATGGGAATGCGTTTTCACACAAATTCCAGTTTTACGCAACATTAGAATAAAATTATGGTTTCCTCAGCCGAACTCAGCAACTTTGCCACTACACGCCAGACTTGGAGGAAATGTACAAAAAAACCTATCGAGAATTTTCTCATTTTCACCAACGCACATTGACGACCATACGCAAATTTTACAGAACTTTTTTACTAAAAAATTGCGCAATAATTTACAACCAATTTAATAGAGTTTCACCTGCGATATGAAGAAA